TGCTCAATTATAAATTAGGTTATGTACATAATTTGGTTAAAACAGTTTAAGTAAACTCATAGTAAGTAAATAAATATTTTCATTATCAAATGCTATCATAATTTTCTTTAAAAGCTTTGTTGAAAGACAACAATCAAATTTTCTTTCTTAAATGATGAAAAGAATAAATGGTAAAAATAATTTTTGAAACAGTTTAGATATTAAAGAAATATTTTATAATAGAATTTAATGACATTTTTTCCTCAAATATTTTTTTCTATAATTAAAATAGCTTCTAATTGGATTGAAAATTTAGAGGCTTTTAAAGAATAGTTCAAATAATACAATTTCTATGATAAATTAGATAATTAAAGTGCAAAAACACTTACTCCTCTTTTTCTCGGAAAAGTACTTATTAATAATATAAATAATGCTTCAATTATTAAGTTATGTAATCCTTTATCAGATTATGAAAAGTTTAACTAATAAGGAAAAGAATTAGATAGTAGTATACATAAATCTAATATTTATATTATTACAAAAATGAATGATGGAAAATTTAAAATAAATGATTAATTGAATTTCAAAAAAAGCAATATAAGGGACAATCACAAATAATTGATAATATTTAATGATAATAAGATATTTTTAACTTATTTTCACTTTTTAAATATCAATTTAAGAATTAACTTCTTAATCAATAAGTATGTCTTTATAAAATGCAATATAGCAACTAAATATTCACTTATTTATATATTTAAATTTTATTGAAATTTTTTTAGATATTTAAATTAAAAATATAATACATTCTAAGGTAAATTATAGCTATGCCTTTTTCATTTTTCAGCAGCTCTAAAATAGATTTTGTTACAACAATTCTTAATTACTTTTATTATGATTTAGTACCTAAAATGATTGTGTAATATCATACTTTATAAATCAGATGAGAAACATAATTTTAATTCTAATTACTAGAACCATTATATTAATGCATTTTAAGATATTCTAATAGGTTTAAAAAATAATTATTTCTTTAGATCCAATATGCTTCATGTTTTTTTAAAAGCAAATCAATAATTTTTTTATAATTTTTGGTTCTAATTCTTTGATATAAAATATAGGATGATTAAATAGTTAATAATTCTCAAATATAATATTTTGCAATTTAGGAAAAAGCAAGATCAAGTTTAAAAAAATAA